GGTGACTCGACACCTCCCTCGACGCCATCGGAAGCGGTTGTGCGCACGACCGCCCTTTCTTCCGAGGCATATGCGGATGTCGGGAGTCTTCCACTTTCGTTCGAAGACTTCGCTGTCCGACTCGTTTCTTCACTGGATGCTTCTCAAGGACAAGATACATGTGCGGCTTTCTCACCGTCTGAAGGTTCTTCCGCCAGTTCATCTTCATCAAGGGATTCGGCAAGCGTGTTCAACGAGGAGGCTTTGGACCCGCTCACGCCCAAGGACTTCGCTTGGATTCCTCTCCCTACGACGGGCAACCTTCCGGGGCCGCAAAGCGCAGCCCTATGCGTCCTCTTACACGAGTATCTTTCCTTCCATGCACCACCAAATTCGCCGACGGTAGACGAAGTTGCGATGGGGGACATGCTTGGCTACGTTGCCAAGGTGGCCCGCGAGTTTGTCTCGCAACGGTACGAAGAAAACAACGCACCGTTGCTCTACGTTCGCATTCAGATTGGGCAAGCGGCCTGCAACGCCTTGCTAGATTGCGGCGCAACTCACAACTTCATCAGCCAGTCCTTCATGAGTCGGGCTGGCCTTGGCGCACAAGTACGGAGGAAGTCACATCCGACGATGGTCGCTCTTGCCGACGGTAAGAAGAAACAGCTTTTAAACCGTTACATCTCGGCTGTCCCGGTGTACTTTGCACTGCACGCATGTGAACCCGTCACTTTTGACGTGTTGGACACCGACTTTGATGTCATTTTGGGGATGCCTTGGCTTTCTAGCGCGGACCACACGGTCAATTTCCATCGACGCACGCTCACGATTCGTGATGCAACTGGCGCCGAGGTCCCGTGTACTATTCCTCCTCCTCGCTCTTCCATTCGGTGCCAAGTCGTGAGTGCCAAATCTTTTCGAGACACATGCCGTTCCGAGCATGTCGAAGAGATTGGCATCGCTTTTCTTCGAACCATCCCGACGACCGATTCATCATCCACGGATGTGTCTTCCGACCCCCGTGTGATCCGGTTGTTAGACGAGTTCTCAGATGTTTTTGAGACACCCTCCGGTATAGTGCCGGACCGGCCAATCTTTCACGAGATCATACTTGAGGCCGGCGCCGTGCCACCGAAAGGATGCATTTATCGCATGTCCGAGGAGGAACTCACGGTTCTCCGTGCGCAACTCGACGATCTACTTGACAAGGGTTGGATCCGCCCTAGCAGCTCACCTTACGGTGCGCCCGTTCTCTTCGTTCGGAAGAAGAACAAGGACCTTCGACTTTGCATTGACTATCGGCGCCTCAACGCGCAAACCATCAAGAACGCGGGGCCTCTACCTCGCATTGACGATTTGCTTGAGCAGTTGGGCGGCGCCAAGTACTTTTCCAAGTTGGACCTCAAGTCGGGCTACCATCAGATTTCCATCCGCCCGCAAGATCGGTACAAAACCGCGTTTAAGACGCGATATGGGCATTTTGAGTGGGTAGTTATGCCTTTTGGCCTCACCAAYGCCCYGRCCACCTTTCAGGCGGCCATGACCACCGAGTTTCGCGCTATGTTGGACCGCTTCGTCTTGGTCTACTTAGACGACATCCTCGTCTATAGCCGAACTCTAGAGGAGAATCTCGAGCACCTTCGTCGTGTTCTAGAGACTCTTCGGTCAGCCCGGTACAAAGCTAACCGCGACAAATGCGAGTTTGTCCGGCAAGAGCTTGAATACTTGGGTCATTTTGTCTCTCCGGAAGGCATTCGTCCGTTGGCRGACAAGATTCAAGCCATCCAGGAGTGGCCCGAGCCGAAGAATGTGACGGACGTCCGATCCTTCCTCGGCTTGGCCGGTTATTATCAGCATTTCATCAAGAGTTACTCGAAGATCGCGGCCAACCTAAGCAAGTTACAAAGCGAGGAGCGGCCTTTTGACTTCGATGAAGATGCGCGTCATTCTTTTGAAACACTCAAAGCGGCACTCTTATCCGCCGAGGTGTTACATATTTACGACCCGCTTCTAGCTACGCGCGTTACTACCGATGCGTCGGGGTATGGCATTGGGGCCGTCCTTGAGCAGCACGATGGCACGGACTGGCACCCAGTCGAGTACTTTAGCAAGAAAGTACCTCCCGTGCATTCGATCGACGACGCACGGAAGGAGCTTCTTGCCTTCGTCCATGCCCTCAAGCGTTGGTGACATTTCCTCCTTGGTCGGAAAGCATTCCGATGGGTAATGGATAACAATCCGTTGGTATTCTACAAGTCGCAAGACACAATTAACAGTACCATTGCCCGTTGGATGCCCTTCATCGACCAGTTTGGCTTTTTCCCTGATCACATTCCCGGGAAGTCAAACCGTTTTGCGGACGCCCTCTCACGACGACCGAATCTTTGCACCGCAGTCTACTCTACCTTCGAGATCGACGACGACTTGCGGGAGAACTTCATCCGCGGCTATCAAGCCGACCCCCACTTTCGCGACAAGTACGCGAATTGTTCCTCTCCAAATCCGGTGCCTTCGCATTATCGGATCCAAGAGGGCTACCTACTTGTGCATTCACGAGGTAAGGATCTTCTTTGTGTGCCGAATGATTCACACTTGCGCACACGGCTTCTTGGCGAGTTTCACGATGCGCCCGCCTCCGGACATTTTGGTGTCAACCGTACACTTGGCCGACTTTGCCAACGGTTCTATTGGCCCGACCTTCTCAAGGATGCCACCCGCTATTGTGAGTCGTGCGAAGTCTGTCGGCGTTGCAAGTCACACAACCATCGTCCGTTCGGCGAGCTACACCCATTACCAGTGCCCCTTGGGCGACGGGAAGCAATTGCTATGGATATCACCGGCCCCTTCCCGAAGCACAAGACCGGCGTTGATGGGATCCTCACGGTCGTCGACCGCCTCACCAAGTACGCCATGTTTTTGCCTTGCCGCTATCACGCAAAGGCACCGGAGTTAGCCGAGGTCTTATACACCGGTTGGATTCGCTCCAAGGGCTACCCCAAGGAGATCGTTTGCGACCGGGACACTCGCTTTCTCTCCGACTTTTGGRTCGCCCTCGTCAAGCGATGGGGCTCATCTTTGAAGCCGAGTTCGGCTCGCCACCCGCAAACCGATGGTCAAACGGAAAGGGCGCATCAGACCGCTCAAGTCCTTTTACGCACTCTCATCCGTCCCGACCAGGTTGATTGGGTTGAGCGCTTGCCAGACGTTGAGTTGGCTTACAAGAAGTCGTCACATTTATTACCAAAAACAGAGATCATTTGAGGCTGGGGACCTCATTTGACCCGGGGGAACATGCTGGGGCCATTACCCATCTTCGGCGGTTGAAAAACCAAACTGCAAACGGGGTCCAGCTTCGGTTGAAAAACCAAACTGCAAACTGGAAGCTCAGGAAGAGGTTAGGGAAGGAAGGCTGCTGGAAACCGGGTCGAGTGTCCCACTATCATAACTGAACTGGTATCTCCTGTTAACTGCATCGAACTCAGTAGACCAACCAATTCTATTCTACTACTAAAAGAAAAGCTCTAAGAGCTGTAGGGGCAGAGCGATCCCCCCATCTCTTACTGTCCAAAAGACTGAAAAGAGCCTGAGCTACCGAGATGGGTTTCCCACCATGCACTCGACGGATACATCTCAAGTCTGCTCTTCACCGGTTCGCTCTTTCGCCCCGACCAGTAGCATTACCACTGTCCCTTGTCCCACTCTAAATTACTTCCCTCTCCTAGTCGTAACTGCTGCAGCAACCTTCTCAGAACGACTGCAAGCATGCCGGCTGAAGTCCTCCCCACCACCCGCAACTCTATTAGGGCAACCTTCGCTCCTCACTGTCCAAGACACTGTAAAGAGCCTGAGCTGCCGAGATGGGTTTCCCACCGTGCACCCAATGGATACACCTCAGGTCTGCTCTTCACCGGTTCTCTCTTTCCACCCTTCTACCCTACTAGTAGTGTTCCCACTGCCCCTTGTCCCACTCTCACTGCTCAAGGTGGCACCGCTACTGGTGGCTCCGTGAGTTTTACCCTGGGCCACTAACATTACTTCCTCTCTCCTTCATAATCTGCTGAAGCAACCTTAATTAATCATGGCCATCTGCTGACCATTCACCCAGAAGACCAGCAAAAATGACAACCACTGTTGTTTAACACAATGCCATATTTAATAATTTAACCAAATTACCACATGCCCATACGACCAAACCGGTTACTATATCCAGTGCGTCGAGTTTTTGCATATGAAACACTAGTAGTAGAGGCAATTCATGTGACCAAACAATGGAGAAGAATATTAGTACCCAATAAATGCAGGAAATAGTAACCTAAATCAAGGAAGGAAGAACCTGAATCAAGGAACAACGGTAGCTTAAAAAAATACGACAGAGAGAACAGAGATTCCACCAGCCTAAAAAAACAGGCGGCCAATCGTTTCAACAGAGATCTATACCCTAAACCTCGTAAGTGAATATAGTCATGAAAACAGCCTATATCCGTATGCAGAGAACTGCGAGGAGATCTAAATAATGGCAACTTATATCGTCGAGCAATTTTACCTGAAATACGATCAGAAACGAAGTTTGTAACCGAATGAATCCAATCTGTGCTGATGTGATGGAGCGTAGCTGCTTCGACAGATCATGTCGACTCGTTATGATGTTGCCCATTGCTATTTTTGACTGTTGCCGGTACTTCGTCATGATGTTCAGGGGAGAAGCCCGAATGCGCTTTGTACCGACTTAGTGAGGGCCACTCTCCCTTCAACGATGCAGCCAGCCCCCTAGGTAACACTATGGCTACCCAGCTTCATACTACTAGAATAGACAAACTTCCACGCCACCGCATAAACTGACCCTGCAAGGGAAATACCCAAGAGCAGACTGTGGGGGGGGGGGGGGGGGGGGGGGGGGGGGGGGGAGGGGGGGGTTACGCAAGTATCCGGACAAGACTTGAAATAATCAGAGTCAAGCCATGAACACGGAACAGGAATTCAGAGTGCATAAAATGAAATTCCAATCTCCAGTCGCTGTTGCACTCCAGGATGACTCCCCGACTCGATGGTTCACTTGCATGGTGAAAGAGGAACCCGCCCCGAGGGCAGGACAGTTCCTCGAATCTTCAGAGCATATACCTCGATTGATTAAGGGCTAATGAGCATGAAGGATCTGAACAACTTTTGCCTCAGCGTCACATCGAAATTCTTCACCAAATAAGTTAAAATTTAAAATTAAAAAATGTTTGTTTCTTCATTTGCTTTTGGCCCGACTGGGCAAGTGGTCCCGGGCCACTCCTGTAGCCTAGGGGAAAAATCAAAAAATGAACGACAAAATGCCGAAACAATAGTTTTTATTTCTTAAAAAAAAAAAAAATGAAGGAGGAAAAAGAGCTATCTTTATCTTTTTGTGCGGGGAGAGAGAGGGGGGGAG